CTCTCGAATATTGGTAAACTCAAACCGACCCCTCTCCCACGTGAACCAAAGATCACGGTAACCCAAATCCACAGGGTTACAATCATTAAGGGCAATTATGTCTATCTATAATTGAATTGCATCATCAATTCATATATTTTTGGGTAAACTAAGCGTTTAGTACCTAAACAATCAATTTTGATCTGTTTTAATACCTAAAGTTTTAATACCTAAAGTTTTAACTTTTTTCAAAACCATACCTAAAGTTTTGTTTTGTTTCATTTTAGTATCACGTTTAAAATTTAACGTTAAGTTTTGAAAAAATTAAAAATTTAGGCACTAAAACGGACCAAAACCTATAGTTTAGATACTAAGCGATATAAGTTTTTAACAGCAAGGTACTAAACTGAAACAAAAACTAAATATTAGGCTTGACTTTAAAAAAATTGAAAGTTTAAATACTAAAATAGACAAAAACTGATAGTTTGAATACTAAATGCATAGTTTATCCTATATTTTTTTGGGTATAATAAATTATATATGCATTTATTAAGAAGATGTGATTTTCTAACAACCTTTTACTCATAACATTCAAATAATTATTATGGAAAGGATGCTTTCATAGAAAATAAAAATACATATACACTTTTAGATGCCTTGATTGGTGGGTCCTAAAAGGGTTACTATTAGGGAGGAGCCGATGTGGGATCCCATTCCCATTTAATGTACCTCTCTTTGTTATAATTCGATATCACTAGGATGGCAAATGGGTACAATTTCATGGATTTCACACCGCACCCGCTCCAATTGGGGACGGGGATGGGTATAATTTTAGTAGGTAGGGGGCGGGTGTGGATTTAGAAAGTGGTACCCGTCGCGGGTAGTGGGCGGGTAATGGGTTTGAGACCTTAGCCGCCCCGCATCCGCCCGCCCAGCTAAATATCCATTAAAATTTGGACCATTATGAATTTAGGTGTAATTTTAGAGACTAATTTATAAATCCTAATATTGTATAAGATATAACTTGTAATTTAACCAAATATTAGGGATAAGTTTATGCTTAAATTTTTTTCTTGCAAACCTCTCGTTACAGCGTCGATCTTTCAAACCTCTAGTCTCCACTCTCTAGCTTATTCAGGTACGTTTCTTCCCTTTTTACTTGAAATTTAATTTTCGTAAGAGTCATTTCCGTAGTCATTTCGTTTTAAGCTCCTCTGTATTTCGTTTTAAGAGTTTAATTTTTATTTGCTCGTACTGATTTTTAATTATTTTTTAGATTCATCTCAATGTTTGTTTTAAGCTTAATTTCTTAATGTTCTGCAAATCAGTATCTTGTCACTGAGCACCCACGTTTTAGGCCAACAGAGTCAGATCATTGCTTCTCAAACCTCCATTTTTAACGCCATTGAATAGAACTAAGTGTTAAGAGATTCAATGTCTCCCTTGTGCTATATTATTTTCCCCTATTCTTGTCCCCAAAATTAAATTTATATTTTTTTTATCTTTTACTAACTGTAGAGTTGTCATTAGAATAATGACATAAAAAATTTATATAGAGTCAAGTAAGCATCTTTTCTGTTTTTTGGGATGTGTCAAGTAAGCTTCTTTTGTTCGATATAGTAATATCATTTGTTTTTTTGCTTCTAATCTCTACCGAGAATCTTGTTTTAGGCACCTCCTAAACTATATCTTGAAATGAAACACCAAATTTACTGCTTTTCTTACTGTTAACATATAAATAGATGAGTAAATGAATGTTCTACCCACATCTTTCACATTTATTTATGATAAGTAAATGCATTGAAGAGAAATCTTTGTAATGATATGGTTATCTTCTTGTTTATGGTTAAAAGGCTGCATTTTTTTTGCTCATTTAAAAAGGGCCTATGTTGTATTCTCCTTTCTGGAGAGCTGCTATTTTAGAAGGTCTTAAGTAATCTTAGTTTGCTTCGACAAAACTTAAATGTTCTCAGCTTTTATTTTGGTTAAATTTGATGATATTTTCTCATGATTTTGATGGAATAATTTAGCTCAAAGAAAGCAGATGATAGGGAAATATAAATATATAATGTCATTGAATCATATGTGTGTAATTCAATTGCCCTTTCCTGTTTTACTAAAAAACATAGTTTTCTTTCTTTTCTAATCCAATATAAATTTTCTTGTTGGATAACATAGTTATAATTTCTAAAGAAAACCGAAGATACGAGAAGTTTATTGCCTAACATATTTATTCAAGCGAAACATGGTCTGCAAGCCCCATACTGAGTTGTCACCGATCGTTGGCCTGAGCTTGAAGTACGAAACAGTACACACATATATAATGCATCCCCTATTCCCATATTTGGTTGAAATCATCATGCATTTATTGAAGAATCAATGTTGTTGGGTAGTGGGTGTGGGGATGGATTTGAGAATGTACCCTCGTGGGCGGATGTGGATTTGAAAATTTTTACCCATTATGGATGGTGGGCGGGTGGTAGATTGAAAAATATTTGGTGGGTATGGGATGGGGAGGGGGTATCCACACCCGACCCGCCCGTTTGCCATCCCTAGATATCATATCTCTCAAAATCCCTCCCATTTTCATCTTTCGAAGTTTACTTGTATAATTCTATACATTATATAATTATATAATACAGGAACGAAGTTTTAAAAAAATCAAATAAATAAAAGTCTTTTAAAATGTCAAAATGAGTTGTTGTTATTATTATTATTATATTAATTTAAATTAATTAAACAATAAATTTATTATTTAGGATCAAAATATAATTTTATTATTATACTAATTTACTTTTTTAAGAAAATAAAAAAAATATTTAAAGAAATCAAAACCCTTGCATTTCTCCTTTGATGTTCTCCCTAATACGATGTAGATAAGATATAAGACAAAAAAAATAATGTCTATAAATAAACTTTATTAGCATATCAAAATTTATATATAGTATTTTAAATATAATCCTAACCTTAAAAAAGTATAAATAAAACCATCAGACACTAAAACTAATTGGTACGCAATAGTTCTTTTTTTAATTAAAATCTTGTTTGAATTCTTATAATATAATAATAATAATAATAATAATAAATATTTGATAAATTTTATTATTATCTTATATAATTTAGCGAAATTAATACATGATTAAAGGAATGAGTGAACAGGCTCGTATATCATAAAAAACGAGATTAATATTAAGTTTATAGTATGAAGTATAATTTATAATATTTGTTCCTTAATATTCATACACTACATCAATTTAGTAAATATTTTAATTCAATTAAATAAATTCATCTCTAATCTGGAGGTACCACGTGTCATTATATGATTGGAGGGTGAATTTAATTAATTTTAATATTTTAATTAAATAAAAATTTCTACCAATTAGATTGTGACACGTGTCACAACATGTGTAAAGTTAAAACATTTGAGAAATATAAAAGGCTACGAAGATTCAAACCAAGGACCATATGGTGTCCCTAGGCAAGCTGTTTAATTGATTTAAAATTACTAAATACTTTATATATTGTATTTGAAGTTATTTCATATATATATATATATATATAATTATATAGTTAATATAAGACTTAAAAATAAAAATAATTTTAATATTTTTATTTAACTAATAATATTGTGAGTTTAATAAATATTTAAATCACAAAATAATTTAAATAATTATATTGGTGGGAATTTTTTAAATAATATATATATATATATATATATAAAATTTTATATAAATTATTTTTTGATAAATATTTATTAAACTCACAATATTACTATTTAAATAAAAAATTTAATTTAATTTATTTTTATTTTTATATAAATTATTTTCTATAATTTTATTTTTTTAATATAATTTATATATGCATGTGTGAAATAACTTCAAACATAATATATAAAACATTGTGCAATTTTAAACTAATTAAATAGCTTGGCTGGTGACAAAAGCTTCCTTAGGGACATGGATCCATGGTTTGAATCCCCCTAACCCTTTATATTTCTCAAATGTTTTGTCTTTACACAGGTGGTGACATATCACCATCAAATTGGAGGGAAAATTTATTTAATTAAATTAAAATGGCTAAATTGATATAATATATAAATATTAAAGGCTGAATATATAATTATACCAATTTGACTTAATTGCCACATCACAAAAATAACGGACAATGAATCATTTAAATAGTTGGGTGATTTGTTTGAGTGTTTTCAAACGTTGATGGTCAAAATGATTTATGACCATAATTCGGTAGTCACCAGTATAGTTTACCCTTATTTTATATTATAAAAAGTTATATTTTACTTCAGTTCATGATCACTGTTGGGCAGGCGTTTAGGTTCATATTTTGATTTCCGTTTGGTAAGACGGCGGCATCCAATGATCCGACAAAACTTTTAAACTGATATAGGGGTTTTGTACTGAAAGTTAATTATAATGATTTTGGTATGTGTTGATTTGGGTGGAGGGTTATAATTAATAATTTTATAGAGGAGAGATGGGTTATTAATGAGTTGAGTAGTTCGAATTTAATTCAGTAAAAATTTGATAAAAATTCGACTCGAGACCTTAACGAGCCGAGTTAAGTAAAGTATAACTCGATTCGATAAGTTCGTGAGCATATTGTTAATTTTTTTATAATTTTTTACTATTATCTTAAAAAATTATTTCATTAAAAAAATTTACTAATTTACTAATAGATGATAAATGACTAATCTATTAATTTTTTAATAAAAATACTAAATTATTAATTAATAATTATTATTTTACAACACCCAAAAATTAAACTCTAATAATTATTTTAATGTATTTGTGAATTTTTATTTTAAAATTTAGACTTTCAATTTGTTTCATATACACTTTTGATAATTTTTTTTGTTAAATTTATCAATTTACGTTTATTTTAAGCTTTATATATTATTAGTAGACTTTACATACAGTTAAAAAATAAGATAAAAATTTTGGTGAGCTTAATGAGCAACGAGACGAGTAACAAGCTTAACAAACAACAAACTTAATGTGCACGAGTCGAGCAACAAGTTTATTTAACGAATATGAGTCGAGCAACAAGTTTTTTTAACGAGCACGAGTCCAGTACTACCTAACTCGCGATCGACTCACTCAATAAATACCCCTATCTATAACTTAATTCACCAGTTCCTATCACTAGAATATTGCTAAACCGTTACCAATCGACCAATAGGGCAATGATATCTCCATCCTCATCTTCAATGCTATCAGTCTCGAAACACGACGCAACATTATTGCGAATATTTTCTTGTATAGTGCCTGACAAAGCTTGAGGTATTAGTCCGGTTTCCAGATTATCCGGAGATGTCGACAATAGATGTGGAATCTTTCTCTGGTTGTTCAGTAAACAGCCTCAACCTTTCAGGTAATGTGGGTTTATAAGCACAAACTTATGGCATGGAGTGTGTCTCTGATTGAACCTGCCTGGAAGCTTAGGTCGAGTTTTATAGCAATCTCCACAAAGATCAAATCCCATTCTCTCTGTACAATCCTTGCATCTGTATCTATCCCCAACTATCGGACACATCTGCCAGCACAAATTTGAGACTATGAAAAAATTCTAACATTACAAGCGATGACGATTATACAGTAGAAAAAAGTATCAATTAGTTTAGCAATGCAATGCAATGCAAAGCAATAATATACTCCATCTTTATGCATTAGATCAGGTGAAAATGTTGCTTGAAAAGCTCTTAACAAAATCCAACAGACACTGAATCAATAAGCAACAGAGCAACTTATCCATTATAGGACCCCTCTTTAAGCAATAAAATGTCATCAATACAAATTTTCAGAGTTCAGTGCCCGGAAACTATCGATGGGATTAACTAGGGAGTGTTAGGAAAAAGAAGAGAAGACACTAGCCAAATCAAGCATGTACACACACATATGCTTGCACTCTGCATTTCCATTAGACTATTTACAAGCAATTTTCGTTAGAAAAGAATAAAAATGTTATGGGATCGAATAAAGGAAGACATGTTTTAAAACATTGTAGAATGGGCTATGTTATTTATGGGGATGAATTAAGAAGACAAGAGACAATTATGAGCATGCATGAAACCAACTAATTTGAACTTTAATGAAGACTGAATTGGTGCGACTCCAGATCACACACATAGACATGCACTCATATAAGAGAAAGTAAGCAACATATTTACCCCACAAGCATCACAACCAGCTTCTACATGAATATAGCGATGGGGCTTTACTTCTGAGGGCAACTGGACAGGTGAGATATCTCTTTTACCATCTTCCATGGAACCTGAGAATTCAACCATAATAACTAGTTTAAAATTATAGACTCAAAGTTGATGCAGCCTTATTATAGCACGGTCAGTCAATCAGACTCCTTTTAAGATTGATTTTGCCAACATGACTGACTAAGAAATTGAGTATATATTGGATATTGAATTAGTAATCATGTGCTTCAGTTTTAAGCTTAAAAAAGTAAGGCAATAGACCAATCAGCAGGAAAAAGGAAAGAACCAAAAATATAATTCTGTTAAATACTAAATCAACCGAAGTGTTGATAGACCTAGAACAAGATGGGACCGGTGGAAAATTGAGACATACAAGTGGATGGTCCCTCATGCTTGCAAGAAGCTTGTTTGAACTGAATAGTATCTTTTCTCAGTGAATACTCATTGGGAAATTTAGCCACCAAAAAGTGATCAAGTGTCAAGCAGACTTTTGGAAAACCCCTTGGATGCAAACATTGACAAACTTGACACCTAAGCATCTCATCAGCAGGTATACCGATGCATGTTTGACAAGAAACTGAGAAAGAATAAAGATAAGTCATAAATAACAGGAAATTGAGGCTCAGTGATGCTAATGTAAAGATAGAAACAATTTTAGAGGCATACCATGTCCACAGTTAAGAACAACAGGACGGAAAAGCAGTTGCTTGCACGTGGTACACAGTACATCAGCAACTGAAATCTGATCATTTTCCTTCCTGGAAACATGAGACTCTATCTGTCCATCTGGTTTATTAAGTTCCTCTTCACTGGTAGAAGAGTCAGAAATATTAGAAGACTTTGACGAGCTTCCCAGGTGATTAATTTCTCCATCAGCCTCCGATTCACATGCATAACCACTGAACTCCGGCGAAAAGCAGGTGCTTTGCTTTTCCTCCTCTGTAGCAAACAAAGCAACAAGATAAGTTCCATAACGTCAAAAAATATAGGCATAGCACTACACTAAATACAGTGAGAATAATCTCAAACTATCTACAACAATTCAGCACTTGAATCTAGAGACAAATCCACCACTGAAAAGTGTGGCAAACATAAGCAGACCGCTTCAATGCAAAAAACTGGGTCAACAAATTAGTCATATAGAACTATCGATTACGAAATCAAATGCTTTTTTTCTTGAAAATTATACTAAGAAACAATATTTTTGTTGCTAATAGTTATCTTTATAAAGCACAACCATGAAAACATATTTGATAGAACATAAAATCGAACCGAATAGAAAACCAAGCTTACCCAGAATCCGAGCTTCCCTGTTTTTGTATGTAATCGGATATAACTTTAACAACAGGAAGTGAAGCATTTCACAGATGCCTGGAAAGTGAGAATATGGATTTCTACAAACTGGACAGCGGGACTCGTATCGATAATTCATTGATCTATAAACGCACCAGAAACATGATATATGACCACAATCTGTACATTTTTGAAGAAGAAAAAATATCGAACCAATATAATAACAATTAAACATAAAAAAGCATGAAATTCATAGTTCTTTCTATAAAAGTAGCAAAGGAAAATCTTACGCAGAACTATTGGTTTGTAAAGAAGATCCCTGCAAAAAAACACAAAATTTTAAACAAAAGTTTTGGTATTTAAAAAAAATAAAGGAAAAGATGGCGAGAAACATTGAAATTATTTGAAGGTAATGATAATTACTTACAGACAAACGCAACAAACGAAATCGTCAGGAATTTCTTCAGCATCAGGAGAGTGATGTTCCATGGGACAAGTTTGGGATTGGGAGGAATCCATTGAATTCCCTTCCACTCGGTAACCAAGATCAGCAAATCCTTCAACTTTCTTTTTTATCCTCACCGATTAACCATTTCTATTCTAGAAGCTGATCCCACGTCATAACAAAGTCATTCCACGTCATATTGTTTTGACGGACAAGCTAATTCCACATCATATTTTATAGAATTTATTAATTAAAACGTAAAAAAATAACATCAAATTGATTTAAGTTTGTATTACATAATATCGTTTGATTAAATAATTATATTAATTTATATTTATTTGTAGTATTTTAAATTTTAATATTTTATTATTGGAAAAAATTATCTATGGATGAAAATTGTTTGTCAACAATGATCGAATCTCTAAAATGTGTTCTTTTTTGTCTAAAATAAAATATTGTTAGAAAAAAATATTTAAAAAATAAAAATTAAAGTAATTATTTAGACAAACGTTAAAAGTATTTTTTTGCTTAAAATAAATCATTAGGAGGTAAAATGCTCTAAAAAAAGTTAAAAATAAATTTTTAATTAAATATTAATGATGTTTTTTTATTAATATAGGATGATTACAACTGATAATATGTTCTAAAAATTCTTAATCATTTGACAATAAATATTTAAATACTCATGTTGATGTTTAAACCTAAGATTTATAGAAATAATAATCATTCATTTAATCATTAAAGTATATTGGTTTGTGCTATTAAGGGTATATTTTAATATTATATCTTTTCATTTTGATAATTTAAAAAGCGTTACATGTTGGTTAAGTTTTAGACTATTATTTAGTTAATTGAGAAAACTTTTTTAGGGTGAAACTTAAATTAAATATTTATTAACTTTGATGGAATAATATTTTTTATCATCAAATTTTATAATTTATAAAATAGTAATTAAATTATTATAAAATAATATTTATAAGTTTATAATAATATATTTTAATGAGTTTTGTGATTATTTTATAATAAATAATAAATTTAATATTTTTAATTATTTAATAAATTTAAGAAACTTAATAACTATCTTATAATATTTAAAATGTCGTTGAATAAAAAAGTATTTTAACATAATCAAATAATACACTCATCCGAAACAATAAATCATTTATTGAAATTTATTTATTTTTAAACTAATGATTGCTATCTTGTTCTACTTTAACTTTTCCGTGCTTTCATTCTAAAATCCCGTTCAAAATTGTTGTAACTGAAAATTCTAAATTTAGAATCGTGATTGCTAATCCTTTTGATAAAAAACTAGGGTAAAGTATATAAATAGCCCCTGAAATTTTAAGGAGCTTACATTTTGTCACCTAACTTTTGAAAATTACAATACGATCATCAAACTTTTAGTTCGTTTTTAATCAGGTCCTTATCGTTACCTCCCATTAGTTTTTGCTGACATGGTAGTTAACCTTTCGTTAACCTTTTTTTCTGACATGACAGTTAACCCTTCTTCTTCAACTCTGTTGACCTCTTCTTCTTCTCTCCTAATCCAACTCTTTCTTTCTCTCTCTAGAACTAAGTTAAGCATTGACCATTCGACGGTCGTCGTACTCATATCGTAAGAACTTATTTTCATCGTTGCCGTCTGTGATGAAGGCGACGTTGGTCGATCACCGATCGCAACGTAAAAGCCTTCCCCGGGACCTCCTGGTTGGTCATTGGTTGGAAATTTGATTCATATCATCCTCCAATGTCGACATTACGTCTTCATAGTCGACATTACGTCTTCATAGTCGACGAGTTACATAAATTGTATGGTCCGATTTTCACCTTGCAAATGGGGCAACGTGCCATGGTGATCATTATAGATTCCAAGCTCATCCATGAAGCCCTGGTGCAGAAAGGCCTCGCTTTCACTTCCTGACCATTGGACTCGCCAATCTGGCTTGTGTTTAGCGTCGGTAAATGCGCTATCAACTTCATCGAGTACAAACCTCTATGACGGACCTTACGGAAGAATTTGGTCACTGATCTGATTACCCCTATGAGAGTGAAGCAGTGCGGCTGGATCCGAAAATGGGCGATTGAAAACCACATGGAAATGATCAAAAACAAATGTTTTGAGAAAGGGTTCGTTGAGGTAATGAGTAATTGCAGGCTCACTATATGTAGCATCTTAATTTGTTTATGCTTTGGTGCAAAGATCTCTGAGGAACGTATCAAGAATTGAGAAATACACAAATTGTTTCGACGCAAAAAGAGAAAATCAAGAGCATACTTAAAGATGTAATGCTCGTAACATCGTCGCAGCTATCAGATTTCTTGTCGATCTTTACGCCTTTGTTTCGACGGAAAATGAAAAAAGCTAAAGCATTGAGAAATACGCAAATTGTGTGCTTGACTCTATTGATAAATAACCGAAGATATTTCATCGAGAATGGCGAAAACCCTCACCAAGAAATGGTGAGTCCGATCAATGCAGCATATATCGACTCACTCGTCGGACTCGATCTAGCAACCTGAGGTCTATTAGGGGAAGAAGAGTATGTTACTCTATGTTCTGAGGTGATCATTGTCGGTACTGATATGAGTACGAAGATCGTCTAATGAGCAATGCTTGACTTGGTTATAGAGAGAGAGAGAAAGAATGAGTTGGATTAGGAGAGAAGAAGAAAAAGAAAAAGAATGGGTCAACGGGAGTTGAAGAAGAAGAAGAAAGAATAAGGATTAACCACGTCAGCAAAAAAAGAAGGCTAACGGAGGGTTAACGGCTACGTCAGCAAAAACTAACAGGAGGTACCGACAAGAATATTATTGAAAACGAGCTAAAAGTTTGATGATCATATTGCAAGTTTCAAACATTGGGTGACCAAAATACAAACATCCTAAAAGTTTAGAACTATTTATATACTTTACCCAAAAAAATTAGCTTTATCAAATGCAACTTGTAATTTTTTTTTTTTTTGAAATGGTGCAACTTGTAAATTTCAATTGCCCAAGACAAGTTCGCTCATCGCGCACGCGCGGACTGTGTACAGCGTGGACAACCTCACCGTTTTATTTGCCACGTATGACTAATAACTACCATCTAGAAACACTAAACAAATACGTGTCAAACAATGAGTGGACAGCACTTTCAAGAGGCTAATAGAAGAGCGCGAAACCAAACCCGGGGTATCGGGAAATATCGGGGGCCCAAACCCGAATAACCCGACCGCCCAACTATACTTAAACAACTCCCACGTCTAGTTTTCGTTTTCACACAAAGGGCTTAAAGAAAAAAGAGGAACAATAATTCCGCGATTTCGCCCTTTCCTCTCAGGTTCGCAAACCGTACGGTCATTCCCAAAATAGTTTGAAATTTTAAATGCTTATTCATTTTGATAGTTGTGTTTTTGGGTTAAAACCAAATTATTTAATTATATATGTTTCGTGTTTCTTCCGATTCGATTTTGCCTCTCTCTAGATCGTGTGATTTTAAAAAGCGGTAAAATTTTGATTTTGTGATCTCCAATAATTGAGAATTATAAGTCCATGAGTTATCTCGAGTGAAAGTCCTGGGCTTTTGATTTATGATGTGTGATCATATGGGTAATTAGCTATTTTAGGTTTGAAATTCTGATATTTTAAAAGATAAATACAAGATATTGCCGTTGTTAACCCGATTGAATGTATTGGGATCTGGTTAAAGAGGCAGTTAAAGTTTTTATAAATGGAAAGCCTTGTGAAGTAAAATTCTTTCATTTGATGATAATTTTTGCTTGTAAATTCTGTCTCCCTGATCTGTTTGGACAGGTCATCTGCGTCGGTTCCATTAGAGGTGCAATAATTCTTTCCCCTTTCTTTCCTAGCAAGAGCGTTAATAGCGTGACCTGCAGGCATGGCTGAGGTAACTAATTCTCCTCATTTGTTTCAACTTTTGTTGATTCTTTGCTTTGTTATATTTTCTTTGCATTTTTGCACTGTTCTGTTAGTATGCTTTCCCAGGATTTTGCTTTTGCACCTGTTTTTTTAGTATGCTTTACAAAAATTTTATTTAGTTGGTAAATGTTTGCATCGAAGACTATCTGTGATCTTATTGGGACTTTGAATTGATGACAGAAGAGCTATAATGTTACCTTGAATGTGTACGACTTGAGCCAAGGACTTGCTCGGCAGCTTTCAACGACCTTGTTAGGGAAGGCTATTGAGGGAATATGGTAAGCATTTAGTTTTAAGGGGAAAGATTGTTTCTTGATGTGAGATTTTTTATTGAAGTCTAAAATTTTCTTAAGTATGTTTATTATCATGTATCTTACATTTTAAGTATTCATTAAGAAAATTTTCTTAAGTATATTTCATTTGTAGGATTGTGTTGGTAGTTTTGCGTTTTTACCAGTTTTGTTTCTTTGAGCCAGACAGTCAGCTTTATCTGATTTTGACTCATAATCTGCTGCGTCTTTGTTTCAATACTGGGTATGTTGGGCCTTATTGGTGAATGTTATTGTTATTCATTTGAGGTTGTTCTCACATTATGTTAATCCATGCTGGAAACTTATTTGTGATGGTTATCTATGCTCCATCCCTTCTTTTAGTTGTAGTTATTCTACTTCTTTTTGTCGCATCAAGTCTTCTTCCTCCCATTGTATACATGGAAATGGAATGGGGTTTATAGTTGCATTGCTTGATACGCATTTGCTGAGTTAGGTTTATTCATTTTTGTTTGCTTGATAGGCACACTGGAGTTGTGGTTTATGGTAAGGAATACTATTTTGGTGGAGGAATACAACATGCTGTTATGACCCTAGGAGATTAGAGAAGAAATTAGACGAAGAATTGAGAGAATTAAGAGTAAGGAGAGAAAAGAAAAGATTCAAGAAGCTTAGAATTCATTCAATCAAAAGCATGCCATCTCCTCCTCTAGTACATGGTTTATATAATTACAGTGTACCCCTAATTACCCTACAGTTGGAAGTCCCTGTTGTACTGAATATAACAACCTACACAGATAAGCAAGTTGTTTCCTATCCTTAGTGGGCTGTAGAACATGTCAGGTTCATTCCCAATTCCAAATCCCTAACCCTATCTGATTTCCCCAATTCTCTTGCTCCGATTCTTATCTCTTCTCCTTTGTGCATGACAATACCCCCTCCATGAAAGGATCCTTGTCCCCAAGGATCAAAACCTGGGATTAGCGCTTTAAGCACAATATAGTTTTCCACAGTGATGTTTTTTGGCCTCAAGTTTGTCCACTGCAGCAACAATTGAGTGATAGCCTGATTGTGCTTCTTGAGGTTAAATACACTTTTATCCAGTGTTGGGCGGAGAATTCCATCAGAACCACCCATTGCAACCTCAAAAATTATTTCTTTGCCAAAATTTGAAGTAAGCAATTCTCTTGAGTCCTCAATGCAAACATCAACAAGATTCTCAGCGAGCCCACTCTTGACTAGCAACTCTCTCCTCCTTAATGAAGGATCCTTCTTCCCACCTTCAGCTGAGCAAAGGCTCTCTTTGGGAATGTCACTTTTACCAGACTCGGTTTCTGTCATATCAGGATCACTTGTAGCTGTCTCCGTTGTAGGTTCTTCATCAATGTTCTCTTCAGGAATATCACTCTTAGCTGCCTTCTTATTAGATTCTTTATCCCTTGAAATTTTCTCAGATCCGACTTCGTAATCATTCTTAGCAGTGAGCGACAGAACAGATAAATTCAGAAAGGCCAGACCATCGAAATTTAAATAGCGTGAACAATTTGGATGAAGCAACTGCAACAACAAGCGCCTTCCACTCTTGTCCAAAGCAAGCTCTTTCAATGTTTCTTGGAGCTCACGGATGATGAACTTTGTTAGAAGCTTCGTGTCATCAACCATTGAAACAATGCCAACGAGTACCATGCACCCACATTGATCATGTGTTATCTTGCTTATATGTCCTTTCATTCCTTTGATGATTTTCTTTCTTTCCTTAGCACTTCCATGCTTAACGCAGAGCATCCCAATCTTAGATCCATCCCGGTTATGGATCATACGAACTAGGAGTGGACCAGACAGTTGTTGAATTATATCCGCAACAGAGGAATGATCAGCTGTGTTCAAATACTCTACTAATACCCTGTATATAATCGAGTGATCCACTATTCCTTTTTCAAGGATTGGTTGAATCACCGAACTCATGTGTCGCAAAACAGAAGATTTCTGCAGGCCCAACTTCGATATTACATCTATTAACCTGCTTTCTTTTATGGATGCAAAGTTTTTAAACAGATGAAGCTCGAAAGAATATAATTCCATCAGAAGCTCTTGTTTTTGAGAGGCATTTCCAAGTTGATATGCATGCTCAACAACTACAGATCCAACCCTGTGACGAAGAAGCGAAGCAACGTGCCCACGGAGAGTTGAGATAACCCCCACCAGCTGCTTATTAGATGCCGCATCTAACATTTTCTTCACAAGATGCACCGCACAGGCATTGCACGAAAGGGTGAGAAGGTGTGGCTGAAGCTCAGAAAATACAGCATCCCTTTCTGTTTGCGAGCAATGTTTAACACAGGTCTGCAGAACACGAGACGAAACATGAGAACCAGTTATTTCTGGAATCTTTCCCTTCATCTTTTGCAGAGCTTCAGTTATCAGCTTTGATTTGTCTTTTTTAGCAATATTCCGAAGTCTCATCTTTTCCCCTAGAGATGCAAGCTCTTGTTCAAGAGTATAATGTGGTTTCCTCTTCGTCTTTCTAGCTGCTGCCAATTCCTTTGCTTGGATTCGACGCTCTCTCTTAGAAAGCTCTTTATTTTCACTCCCGTAATCCTGCTTCTTAAACTTTGAATGACTTGGGTGTTCGTGTTTTTGTTTCGATGGGTTGAAAGGTTTTATTAACGGCTTGTTTGAAGGGGTTTTTGATTGGATTGAAGCAAGTAGCTTCGGTTTCTTCGATTTCGAGCAATCTCGGTCAGTGTTTGAGCTTGAAATTTGCTTTCTCTGCTTGGGTTTTCGCGTTTGTTGATTCTTGGCCGCCATTGAAGCTTTTAGCTCTAGAGCTCTATCTCCTTCAGTACTGTATGATTCATAGGATTCATCTCCAACCTTAGGTGGACTCATAACAAGACTAACAAGAATTTGACCAGAGATATTGGAATACAGATTGACAATTGCCACTTTATAAATTTGCTCCCTGACATCTGCACCGAACCCAGTTACCTCCATGTAGCCACCCCTTTTTTTACACTCTCCATAATAACCTTTAGAGACTGACTGAAAAGATACTAAGGATATGTCCTTCTCGCTATAACCCATGGACCGCAAAACCTTCTTGAAATAGTGGAATTTCTTTTCAGGTACATAAATTTTTTTCTGGTAAACCTCATCTTCCAGCAGAACAAGACCCTCTTGCTTGTAGAACTCCACAATTGTCTTCTGATTTTCCTCAGTAAGAACCTGTCCTGTTGGTTTGCCTGGATTTATTACAACCAAGGCCCTAACAGTGTTGCCTTTGTACCTAGAAATCTCAAGTTGTTTCTTAAGCTCAGAGACTTCCAAACCCCATCCTGTGGCTTCATCAAGATAATATGGAATCTCCACAGCAACAAAACCACTGCCCACTCGCGCATTTTTAAGATTGATTCCCATTAGCAATAATCTAAACTTGTAAGGGTCATCATCTTCTACAAGTTTATTCCTCCCATTAGAATCAATATGAAACACCTTGTTTGTGGTCATTTTTGCTGTCAGCCGAGTAATTATCTCTTTGCCGACAATGTCATCCGTGGAAATCGGACCAATAGTGAATTCGAATTCAGTATGCTCTTTGTCTTTGTAGAGTCTGGTGACCTGGTAGATCCATTCATTAAACTGTTGGTAAACTTCATCAACTAAGGGTCCAGGAGTGATCCTCAATGGTACTGATCGTGAAACAACGATTAGAGATGAGCTGTTAGGCCGGAATACATATGCACCAAATGCTTGGGAATCAAAATTACCACTGCTTGAACTGTACCATAGGTAGCTCTGCTGCACTGGTACATCTACCTTTGGTGTTGGCAATTTATCGAACACCTGGGAATCATCATGATTTTCCTCACACTTTTTACCAGTCAGCAATTGGAAAATGTGCTCCACATCTCTCTGCTGCGACGTCATTTTGGATTCCAACATACTCAATCGACTGTCCTGCTGCTGCCACCATTTAGGAGGTTCTGTGCCATCCGTTACTTGAGTCACCAAAGTTGTAAGTTCTGCAATTTGATGTTGGATTGAAGAAAGATTAGGAGTTTTACCATGGTTGGTTCTTTGCTTTAAGCTGCCAAGAAATGATGGCTCTGAATACCAATTGTTATGTCCCTAGGAGATTAGAGAAGAAATTAGACGAAGAATTGAGAGAATTAAGAGTAAGGAGAGAAAAGAAAAGATTCAAGAAGCTTAGAATTCATTCAATCAAAAGCATGCCATCTCCTCCTCTAGTACATGGTTTATATAATTACAGTGTACCCCTAGTTACCCTACAGTTGGCAGTCCCTGTTGTACTGAATATAACAACCTACACAGATAAGCAAGTTGTTTCCTATCCTTAGTGGCTGTAGAACATGTCAGCTTTATCTGATTTTGACTCGTAATCTGCTGCGTCTTTGTTTCAATACTGGGTATGTTGGGCCTTATTGGTGAATGTTATTGTTATTCATTTGAGGTTGTTCTCACATTATGTTAATCCATGCTGGAAACTTATTTGTGATGGTTATCTATGCTCCATCCCTTCTTTTAGTTGTAGTTATTCTACTTCTTTTTGTCGCATCAAGTCTTCTTCCTCCCATTGTATACATGGAAATGGAATGGGGTTTACAGTTGCATTGCTTGATACGCATTTGCTGAGTTAGGTTTATTCATTTTTGTTTGCTTGATAGGCACACTGGAGTTGTGGTTTATGGTAAGGAATACTATTTTGGTGGAGGAATACAACATGCTCCTGTTGGGACAACACCATACGGGAAACCGATTAGAGTCATTGATTTAGGAGTCACTCATGTGCCTGAGGATGTGTTTGAGATGTATTTGCAGGAGATTAGTCCTCGTTACACAGCTGAGACCTACAGTTTGCTCACCCACAATTGCAACAACTTCAGCAATGAGGTTGCCCAATTTCTAGTCGGTTCCGGCATTCCAGACTACATCTTGCAGCTGCCTAATGAAGTAATGAGCAGTCCCATGGGTGCACTTTTAAGTAAGTTATTATCTGCCCTTAAATTTTACTTCATTGTATTTGTCTGATGAAGTCTGTGGCAGATATGCTGTAGGGACATCTCCATTAACCTATTTCATGTTAATTATAGTGGATTAATGTGTTTTAGCATTTTTATAGTGCATGATTAGCCTAACTAGTACTTTCAATCCAAAAATAGTGATTTGTTATTTCCAATAATTTTCTTTTCGTCTTGCATGTAAATTATCAAAATAACATGCTTGATAAAATAAAATTTAATTTCATCCCTTGATGAATGTGATCCATTTTGTTAGGTAGATGCTTTCTTTCTTTCCATGGCCAAAGTAAATGTTTTTTGGAATTATACTTATACTCTACCCATTTTTCTACAGTGCCCATGATACAAAATTTGGAGACAACCTTGAGAGCTGGCGCTGTTCCTCAAGTTCCCCAATTTACCCCTTCTGTATCTGGTCAGTCATCTCGGTTCACAACTGCCAAAGTGAACGGGTCATCTAATACTACACAGAAAAAAGAGGTTGAGAATAAGGCGAAGGCTGGGGAGCAGCCGAAATACAAGGAAGTCAAGCCAACACCACCTTCTAAACCGACTGGGGCTGGTGGAGCTGCAGCAGACCCTCTTGGAGATGCACGGACCAAGGTCCAAGAGGAGATAACACGTGAATTTGCCGCCATTATGGCCACCGGAACTTTGCGAGCTAGTGAGGCAGCAGCACTAGCGACTAGAAAAGTGATGCAGAAATACGGGCATTTGAATGTTGCCATGCCACAGAGTTAGAAGCAGGAAAGACGGGGAGAAAAACTTTGTTTTCTTCTCTTTCTTTGCAGGTGCAGCCATCTACCTTGGAAGTTTGGATTCGGACGTCCGACAAAGAATTGAAATAATGTTATAATAATGATTCGACTTCATTAAGAAAATGATTTGAATCTTTCCAAATTTAAATTTAACTATCGGAATGTGGTTGCGATGAGCCAGTAGCCTTCCTTTTTGAGGGTGGCTTTCACGCTATGAATCCCCTAGTATTCAACTGTATCCGCCTTCAGCAATATGGACTTGATTGGAATAAATCAAAATATTTTATAAATTTTATTGAATCGGAGTCCATCCATATTTGTCAATTCTAATGCAAGGATTTACGATCATTTTTTGGTTTAAACTTGAGATACAATTATTAAATTTAAAATGCCGAGTGAAGTATTTTAATGAAAATAAAATTACTCATTTTTATAAAAAATAAAAACTAATAATTTATATAGTGAAATCTTTTTTTTTTCTTGAAAATAAAATTACTCATTTTTATAAAAATTAAAAACTAATAATTTATATAGGGAAATCTTTTTTTTTCTTTAAGTTACGAGTTCGAGTAAAATTTTCATTCTTATCTCTAAGTAAAAAATGTTTAGAAATAATAGTAAAAAAAAGTGGTGTTAAATTGGAAATAGTTTTTGGCGATGTTATTTTGATAAAAATATAGAAGGTATGAACTTTCACATTTACTCTTAGATGATATCAAAGGGATAGAATTCTTTAGGTGATAAACTACAAAACGTAGTCGTTTCCCCCCATTTATACTAATTTTCCAGTTTTGGGGGCCAGACTCCCTCTATCCCCTCAAAACGCTGCCTTCGGCCTGCAGGTCTTTTATTTGACTTGCTTGGCTTTCCACCTGTATTCCGTATTAGTAATTTGCCTAAGTTACATGTTACATCAGAAAATTTAAAGTAGCATAACAAATACAAAAAAAAATGTTTTTAAACAAAAACGTACCAAAATGTTAATTACTTCTCAATTAAAATAAACATGATATTGTGGGTAAAAGATTAAACATATCAGCTACTCTATAGAATCACATCATCCAAATTTAAGGTGGAATCTTAATACAACTGCCCATTGTCACTAAATTTTGCTTTTATCAAAACATATAAGGACTAAATTCATTAAAAATTGAATAGAGAGGGACTAAATCGATAGAATAGTACAGATTCAAACTTCAACCTGAAAACATTATATGCTCAATAGAACTAAACTTCATAACATGTTAGTCAAATTGTTTCTTCCCGAGGTAATGCTGTATGCTCCTGATTGGTTAAACTAATGTTTACATTCTTTAATTCATCGGTACCTTCTTTAGCTCTACAAAAAACATCAGAAGGGATGTTGATTCCCGCAAAACCGATCATCACGGCCGCAGCTCCCACGTAATCCATGAGATGGGGATCATTGCCGATTATCGTATCAACAATTGCCGCCAATGGCACTTGGATAGCAAGACCAGCTGTTGCTACTGTTGTCGTGGTAAGAAGAACAGCTTTTGCCCATAAATAATCACTCAGCACATTGTCCAACAAGCCTATGCATGATGAAGTAAGAGATGATATCAGGTATGAAAATTGTGTCAGAGAGAAGGATACAATAAAACTGGAGTTCATAGCACAAAAACAAAGTTCACGTGCTAGGAGAACGCATTGAAAATGGTGGTAAAATGAAAAATTCTATCACTTCATCAAGGAAATGAAATGATATGATCCATCAAACCACCTCTGAGATCTAAATTCATACATGACGGTGTCTGCAACATCTGTAGTTTCCGGTGATGTTGTGCAATCAGGAATTCTTGGAAGAAAACAAGATTATGGCAAAGTATCGATACAACATACAACCGCATTTATGCTTCTCTTTCCAAATATGCTTATTTCGAAAATGAATAAAGACTTGAAGCAACAATTCAATTCAAGCATGTAAAGCCAATTCCCCTTTGTATAGATATTATCTAACTCAGGACTTGGACAATATTCCTTTGTAACTTGCATATTATTTATGCACAAAACCACGTCAACATTGCGATTGAGAATCTAGACTCCAGCTGTTCATGCACAAGCAGTTCTGTATCCAATAAATTTTTCAAACAGTTGTGCAAGTCAAGTGCATCTTTTCATGCAACAAATGCTCCAAAATCCATTAGCTCCCATATAACTTTTAAAGGACAAGTTTGAAAGGGATAATTTCATAAAGAGGTTCTCAAAAGGACGGATGACGACAAAAGCAAATATGATAAGGCACTTTAAAAAGGTGAAATATATTCTAGAAAACAAACACCAACCAAAAATGTCACCTATATGTGCTAATGCATTTAGTCATGCACCTTTTGTTTTATTAAAGCCCAACATATTAGGTAGATAAATTTAATAATTTCATCAGTTAAGAGGAGAAAGTAACTGCAACCCAAAATAAAATACAAACCTTTTCCTATAATCAGGCCAAACTGCTTCCAGGATAGTGTGTTGAGAGACTCTAGCTTGGTGAAATGGAGTATAAGAGCAAAAGGAAGGGATAATAATACGTTGAAAAGCCCTAGAAATCCCAGGAATTGTGCCATGCTCGCACAGCCACTCTTTTTGTCATTATCAGGTAACTTTTTACGAATAAGTGTAACATATACAGCATACAGAGCTGCTGCGACAAGAGCCAGAGCGTCTCCAAGAACAGGATTTGAAGCAATTATTCTTAAATTCTTGTTGTTGTGTGAGTCCCCCAAGCTGACAATAATGGTTCCTGTCATGCAAAGGAGGACACTTACAAGCTTTATCCAACTGAACTTCTCACCCAAGAATGCCAAAGAGACCAAAAATGTGAAAATACTTGACGCACTGCTCAAGACGGCGTTGGACTGCAGACAACAAAGGGAAGTAAATTATCTGATATATCTGAAAAAGAACATGTGTAGAATCTGAAATTATGCAATCATTGCAAATATGCATTATGCATACCGTTACAGTTGTGTACTTCAATGAGAGATTGAAAGCCAGTTGCCCCAGAAACCAAAATGGGCATATTGACAGGCTAACTTTAGCCACTCTAGTACGTGTCCATCGCCCTTTTGCATCTAAGCCAACATTGGCAACCTCACCTTGATTAGACAAAGTCGTAGTAAGCTCATCGGAAGCGTTTTCACACAGCGAACCATCCAAGATCTCGTGAATAATTTCCCCCTCTTCCGCAAGTGAGAATTGACTTGGTCCATCTGCTCTTGAACCTAAACAGCCCTCTCCAAGAAGGATAGCTTGCTCCGATTCTCTCAACTCTTCTAAAGGGCTGCTTCTTGAATTTCTTCGGAACAATAAACTTCCACAATTATCTTCTAGATACCGCCCAATTTCGACCAAGGGAATATAAACAACGAATAATGAATTGCAAATTTATGTTATAAGAAATGGAGAAACACCTGCATCAACAACAGACTGTACCACAAAACTAGCAGCTATCCATATAGCGGCAACAGCAAATATGTAAAGCAAACCTAAACCCCATCTCCAAGCTTCACTTTTCATTTCTTTCGAAGCCATTTATTAATCAGACTAGCTCTCAAAGTCACAATCATCCCATAAGGATCAAAACATGGCATGCCGACCAACGAACTTCAAATTCTAGAATTCCCATTAAGGAAGAAACTCAATACAAATGTAGTATCCAGATATCAATATCATAAATCAATAATTCACATCAAAATTTGAAGCTTGCTCGAAAGAAAGAAGAAAAATAAGCAAACAGTGGATTATTCAATAATGCCGGAAAATTATAAATAAAGATTACAAGTAAACCAAATGTAATCAATTAAAACACGAAAAATACTGATAACCCCAACAAATAAGATGCGCAGAAAAGTTACCTGCCTCGAATGTTTATATCTTGAGATTTTGTTGTATTCCTTCTGGCTCTGATTCTGAAATGTTTTGCAGATTCAGCTCAATAGAAGAATAACGATTGATGTCAAGGACCAAAATGGGTATCTTATGGCCCAATTTATCAGCCGTTTATGGCCCGATCTAAGATTTTTCACTCTCCTCCCTCGATCTCTCTCGACTTCGATTGGTTTGTTGATCGAATCTTTATTACAAAAAGTCAAATAATGAGCTGGTATGAATATCTTCAAATTCACCCATATTCTCGTTTGTTTGTTCTTTTATCTTCTGTCAGTTTAAATTAATTTTTTAACGTTTAAATTAGATATTTTTATTGTAAATACAATATATTTTTAGAGAAATTCTGTTACGCTAAATACTATTAATTTAATTTATAAAATTTTAAAATTATAAAGGATTGAATGTATAATTATAAATTAGTTAAAATTTAAAAAATTATTTAAAATAAAATATTAATTACATTATTTTCCATATTTTTTAAAAAATTAAATAATTTTTTAAAGATAAATTATAATTTTTTATTGTTAAAAAATTATGGAAATAATGTAATTAATATTTTATTTAAATAATTTACCTTTAAATTTTTAATTAATTCATAATTATACGTTGAGTCATTTAGAATTTTAAATTTTTATAAATTATATTAATAATGCTCAACAGTGTTCATCATTATTGGTGTTCAGCGATACTCGTTAAAGGTGAAGAAGATAAAACAAACTTGCTTTAAGGAGTTTCTACAATGCAATGACGACGAAGAAAGATCGAGAGCTAAACAAAGATATAAGGAAGCAAAGCGGGAAGCCAAGAAAACGAATGCTAAAGTAAAGGATAAGGCATACGAGGAAATGTACAAGAGATTAGACACCAAGGAAGGACAAAATGACATCTTCAGACTTGCAAAATCCAGGGAGAATAGGAAAAATGATATAGGTAGCATTAGGTTTATTAAGGACAACAATGGTGTTCTTTTAGTGAAAGATCATGATATTAAGAGGGTTTGGGTAGTTATTTCTTTGGCTTATTTAATGACGGTGCCTCTCCCTGTAGAGATAGTATCGTTGATGGGTCAGCCGACCATCATACTACAACCAATGACTGCCCTACAAGTAGGATTGGGTTTGAGGAAGTCAAAATGGCTCTTAGAAAAATGGGGAGGGACAAAGCTGTCGGTCCAGATCAAATTCCTATCACTGTGTGGTTGGCCCTAGGAGAAGAGGGAGTTAAGTGGTTGACCAACATCTTTAATATTATTATAGAGACTGCCAAG